AAAGAAAGAAAGAAAGAAAGAAAGAAAGAAAGAAAGAAAGAAGCAGGACAAGGAAGGTTCCTTAGTATCAGGAACTGCCAAATCAACGGAACAAAAAGAAAAGAAATCAGGATGGATAGGTTTGCAAAATACCAGGGAGGAAAGTGAGACTTTCTTAGACCTAGTTAATCTCAGAGATACATTTTGAAGCCCTGCAGAACTACACTACACTATCATTTACAAAACAAAGGCACAGGAGAGAGGGTTTTTCTTTTTGCCCCCCCCCCTTCTCAAAGGTGACAAGACAGAAACCAGGACTTTTCCAGTTCTTGCAACCCACTGTCTCCCAGAGCCTGTTGACTTGACCAGTTCCAGTTTCGGCTTAGCTGGCTGTGGAGCCCCCGGGGTTCTCCAGGCTGCAGGTTACAACCTGCAGCTGTTTTTCTTCTCTCACCTGTTGCTGGATGACTTCCAGGCCTCTAAGAATCCTTTTGCTGCCTCTTCTTTAAAAAGTCAAAGGAGACCTAGAGTCCCAAGGGAGACTGTCCACATTTCTTCAGCGGTTTTCTCCTGAATTTCCACGCATATATTTCCAATTGAAACTTCATAACCATTTTTCTTGCTTAGTTGCTTCTGTTTAAGGGGCTAGATTGAAGCGGCTCATTGCAATCCTGGTAGCCGAAGGCAGAAGCGTGTAGTCTAGACTGGGCTCAAACTATGATACTCATCCCGCTCTGGCTTGCTGAAGGCTGGGATTGCAGCGTGTCCAGTGCTATTCAGTTCTGACCTAGTAGTATTCATAGCATGCAGTTAGCCACTGACACGTTCCCACGTCTCATTTTTGTGTTGGCTAAACAGAACATGTTTGCAGGATAGACTTGGCTCACAAGTCACCAATTAGTAGTCTCTGCTAGTCTGATAAACAGTTGTTTTTTTCCCTTTGATTTCATTGATGCACACAAGAAATGTACCTGGGGTCTTTACTGCAGGTTGGGTGACACAGCTTTTGAAATTTGCCTAATCACCGTCTCCATTTTACACGTAAAAGGATGAAATTTGAGCCACCAAATAACTCTGACCGTGGCCACGGGTTGGGAAATAAGTGGTATTTGAGTTGAGTTTGCTCCCATAACTCAAGGTTATGACTTAAGGGACTGAAAGGCTGAATTGAATGGTCTGTCCACTTCTCTCCAAGAATGAGTCAGCAAACAAAGTGAGGGAGGTGGGGCATCATTAGAATCAAGGATCGGACTCTGAGGTTTTAAAAGTGAGATGACAAGGTTTTCAGATGAAGGGTCGGCTCTCAGCTTGGTCTCAAAGCCGATTTTGAGAGTTAAGAGTTGTGAGGCGCAAGCCTTTAGCCCCAGCACTCGGAAGTCAGAGGTAGACGGATCTCTGAGTTGGAGACCATCCTGGTCAACCAAGTGAGTTTATGTGACAGCCAATGCTACGTACAGATGTAGGCCAGGGGACTCAGGCCTGACTTTCCAACTACTTGAGAGGCTGAGACAGGAAGACTGCAAGTTGAAGGTCAGTTTGAGCAACTCTGTGCACCCTTGTCTAAACCCCAAGGGGGCGGGGCTGGAGAGATGGTTCAGTGGTTAATCACTAATCACATTGGTTGCTCTTCCAAAGGACCTGCGTTTGGTTCTTAGCACTATGTGGTAGCTCACAGCTGTCACACAGTTCCAGGGTATCTGACACCCTCTTCTGAGCTCAGCAGGCATGGCATGCCCTTGGTCACAGACATACTTTCAAGCAAACACCCGTAAACATAGAAAAAGTAAACAAGGAGCCACAAACAAAAAACCACTCACCCACCAAACGAACAACTATAACAAACCCCCAAACACGGCCATAGAGATGGTTCAGTGGGTAAAGGCTCTGGGTGGCAAGCCGAATGACCTGGATTCCATTCCTAGGAGCCACATGGTAGAAGGAGAGAACTGAATCCTGAAAGTTGTCCTTAGATACATGCTCCCGCAAGGGTGTAGAGACACAGAAACATAAATGAATAATAAATAAATAGGGGGAAAGTCCAACACACACACACACACACACACAGTGGAAAAGAGCCTTGGAGTGTATGTGGAAATGACTCTCTCTCTCTCTCTCTCTCTCTCTCTCTCTCTCTCTCTCTCTCTCTCTCTCTCTCTCTCGTTTGCTTGCTCACTTCCACCCTAAGCCCTTTCCATCTCTGAGCCTTTTTAATCCTCACAGAGACTGGATGGAGCAGTTGATATTATTATGTGTACGCCGTGGATGTAAGACTGAGTAACTAACTCAGACTGAACTAGGCTGCCAGAATCCACCCTCTCTCCTCTGCAATCTCTGGAAGTCGAAACATCTATATACAAACAGTTCAGTCCCCAGAAATTTTGTTTTCTGGGACAATGTTTCTCTGTGCACCCTGGGATTAAAGGCATACACCACCATGCCAGGCTGCCTTTTTTTTTTCTTTTTAAATAAACTATCTCTATTATTTCAAAAAAATAATAAAGGAAAGCCTGCGATTTAACTAAAGACGCGTAGAACCCTGATTTCAATCCCCATATCCCCCGCCAAAAAAAAAAAAGGAAGAAATAAGAAAGAGGAAGAAGTAAAGAAAGAGAAAAGGAAAGGGAGAGGGAGGTTCAGAAACTGCAACACATTTTCAAACTGGGAACAGCTGACTACAAGTTCCAGAGAGCGACGCGCGAATTTTCCCGCCGGCGCCTCCTCCCGCCTTTCGGAAACTACAAATCCCGGCATGCTTTGGGATGCACCGGTCCTCGCCCCTCGCCAGTTCCGCCCCCTTTCCCCACAGCCCCCGCCCGCCGGGTTGGACTCGGAGAGTTTGTTCGGTGGCCGTGGCAGACGGAGGTGCTACGATAACCCCGGCTGCGGCACGATGGACGACTCTAAAGTGAAGGTGGCGGTGCGGGTCCGGCCAATGAACCGACGAGGTGAGCGCTCGTCCCGGGTCGGGGGCGACAGGTGCCTGTGGTACTTTAGCCTCGGCGTCCCGGGGGGTCCCGGCGGGCACCCCTCACCGCGCGTGCGCCTTCGACGGCGCGGCCGGGCCCTCAGCCCTCCGCCCCGCCAGCTGTCACCGCGCTCGCCAGGCCTTGGGCCGCTCCGGCCTCGCAGCCCGCCTGTGCACGCAGCTCTCGGGGCGGACAGCCCCACTTTTCGATTTTCCACGTTTCATCACTTGAACCTGCACCTTGTGGCTGTTTGCAGAAAGGAAGGACGTGCCTTCTTAGTTTCTTCTGGTTTGCGATGTCGAAAGTTTTTCTTTGCTTTTTTTTCCTTTTGCTTGAAGTGATAGTCATCAACTCAACAATAAATAGTCTCGGTGCCAAGATTCTTGGGAAATTGTATCTTTCAAACATGCTCTGAAGTCCGTGGGGAGGGTAGAGAAAGTAGATAAACCCAGTACACGTAAATCATCGTTCCAACTTGGAAGGACTGAAGCCCAACTCAAGTCCCCAGAGTAGCTGGATTTTGCCTTTGCGGTTTCACCAGAGGCTGCCTGGGCAGGGTGCTTTAAATGAGGTGACGTGTTTAAAAACACTTCGTATACTAGTCTTGTTATTGAGGTTGCTGCTTCCCTCCCAGGAGAAGGAATTGCAGCTAATTGACCAGACTCCTGACTAGCTGGAATCGTTTTTTTAAGTGCCGGCATCACTTTCTAAAGTTTCTTGTTTGTTTTACTGGGTTCAGAGTCAAGTGTGTAGGAAACACAGTTTTTCTGTCTCCTGGCCCTTTTGTGGATAGATGGAGGCAAACATGTGAGACAATTGACAGAGATTTTTCTGGTTGGTTGTTGTGTGGGAAGTTAGTTCGTTTTTCTGTTTGTTGGCGTTGGTTTGCCCACCTGAACCCACTTAAGTCTATGAGGGGAGGTTTCTCTGGGAGACTTATCTTTTTAAGCTCTCAGATGACTGCCTCCTTGAATCTAGGCTCTCATAAACCAAGGTAACTAAGAACTCTGAAAGCTTTCAAAAGCTTCCTTTTTTTTTTTTTTTGAGTGTCCAGGCATCTTTACTAAGTTCACTTTAAGCTTATTGTGATTGTCAGCGTGATGAAGAAAGCACACACACACACACACACACACACAGACACACACACACGCACACACACACACCAGGCCAAATGAAACCTTACTTATCTGGGTATGATTCGGAAAGGATGGGTTCAGCACATTCTTAAAATTTCCTTTTTTGCAAAACACTTGGAAATGTTAGTGCTGAAAGGAGGCCGCCAACAGGCCACCTCAGCAGGGCTTGGCGCGGGTAGTGAGAGCCGGGCTCCTCTTCCTTGTTTTCTATTACGGTGAGGAAGCTTGACTCTCTTGACTTAATTTGCCGTGGTTGTAATTTGGACAGCGGTTGTTAATCACGCTCAGAGTTTTGAGACACACGTCAAATGGTTTTAGCTGTGGAGTGCATGTTGGCTGTTCCTTGGGTTGAACGTTATCTTCCTCCCCCCTCCTTTCTCTCCTTCCTTCCCTTTTTCTTGAGACCTTTCTTGGGACTTTCTACATAGCCCTGGCTGTCCTGGAACTCATTAAGTAGACCAAGCTGGCCTCGAACTCACAGACATCTGTCTGCCTCAGCCTAAGTGCTGGGACTAAAGGCGTGGGCCACCAAACTTGACCCTCCTTTCTCTTTTTAAATGTAGGCGCTGAGGATCTCAACCCTGGTCCTCATTTGTGCCGCGCGTGCTTTACCCTCTGAGCCATCTCACCAGTCCTATTCTTTCCCATCTATTTATTTACTTATTTATTGACAGTTTCCTTATTTAGACCTGGTTGGCCTGGAACTTTATTATGGTCATCTTCCTGCCTCAGCCTCCTGAGTGTTGGGATTATAGGGGTGCCCTGACTACTTCTGGAACTCACTTAAAAATGAATGTTTACAGTTTGGCTCCTTTGTCCCGTGACACACTGTTCCCAGTCTCTTGGCCTACTCTGTCTCCTGTCTTTTGTTTTCTGATATGTACTTGGGCTTGCCTTTCCAGTGATCATCATGGATGATTTCTTCATCAACATTATTATGCAATGAATTTTAAAGCCTGCGATTTATAAGTTGGCTTCTTGAATTCCTATGAAAAAGCAGTGACAAAACTGAACTCCTTTTTGCTGAATTTGAAAAGAATCTTATTACTTCAAACATTACTTCTTCTGGAAAAATTGATGTTTTAAGTAATAGCACATGGCTGTCAAGTAGTTGGGTCGAGTCCTGGGTGCTCCTGACTTAGGGTGTCTGTGCTGGAAGCACCCTGATAATTGGCATTGAGACAGGCTGAGAACGGGTCACGGGAATGCACTCATGGACTCTATTGTTTGAAATGACATTAATGTCTTTTGAGGGAAGTCTGAAGATGTCCAGAACCCTTGGGTGTAGGGTTCAGTTCTTTGTGTGACTCAGTGGCTGGTTGTGTTTAGGGGCTTCAGCTTTTCTGCTTACCTGTCCATGGGTTTGGCAAACTTGGTTGAACATCAAGCAGGAGACCCTAATTTAATAATAACTAGAGTTGTAATGGCTAATTTGTTGATATAAAGAAAGGAGGTGTGTGCGTATGTGTGTAGTCTCAGCACTCGGAAGGTGGAGGTAGGAGAATCTTAGCTTGAGGTGAGTCTGGGCTGCACAAATAGTGAAATTGCTTTTTTAAAAAGTAAAACATCCCCTATATTCTTCCCTGCTAGCCAATTAACCTTCTTCCTCCTGACTTCTGTTTTTCATCATTTTCTTTATGGGCGATACTGGGGACTTAACCAGGGCCTTGCATATGCTAATATTAACATTCTAGCTTAATGCTCACATGTATGTGTAATCTTACATAGTCTTAACTTTAGTAGCTTTTAGTCCTCTGAAATCAGAAGCTAAACTGCTGAAGGAAAGGGGTAAGCATAGTTTCTTAAAAGATCTTGAAGTAGTATTTACAGATGATCTCATTCTTTTTTTTTTTTTTTTTTTTTGATACTGTTGTGAGATTTGTCTCAGGTGGCCTACTCAGGCTGGCCTCAGACTTGTGTAACTGAGGCTATCCTTGAACTCCTGCTCTCTCTGCCTCTAAGTACTGGGATTACAGACCTGCTCTATCATGCTCAACTTTGGTCTAGTCCTTCAGACTGTACAACTAAGCAGATAAGTTTGCATCCTTCCACATGCTGCACAGAAGACCTGTTCATTTATTATTAATTAATCTAATCATTAAATAGCCTGAAAGGTAATTATTATTTTTGTCTTTTTGAGACAGGGTTTCTCTGTGTAGCTTTTGGTTGTCGTGGAACTCACCCTATAGACCTTGAACTCACAGAGATTTGCATGTCTCTGCCTCCTGAAAGCTGGGATTAAATATGTGCACCACCACTTCCTGCCTATTTTATTTTATGTGCTTGAGTGTTTCCCCTGTGTATATTTATATGCACCACATGGGTGGAGTATCCAAAGAGGCCGGAGGAGGAAGGTGTTGGATCCCCTGGAATTGAAGTTACAGGCACTGTGAATTTTCATTTGGGTTCTGGAAACTGAACCTGGGTCCTCTGCTAAAGTAGTTAGTGTTTGTAATCACTGAACCATCTCTTCAGTCTCTCTGAACATTTTCAAAGCATAATTTTCATTATTGTATCAGGTACACTCCTCTTTTTCACAAATTTGACATTTTATATAGTTGGGTATTTAAAAAAATAATAGGTAATGAATAGTGACTACCTGCCAGGTTTCTAGCTCACACTAGACTGCATGGGAGCTTCAGTCAGAACTGCCAGTTTTAGAATATGTGCAAGATTATCCAGGGAAAGAAATAAACTACAAATTGTTTAGAAAATACCTTTGCCTAGGGGAATGGAACAGAAATTTATTTTAGAAGTTGAGCCAGAAGGGATAATCTCAGGTATTGCTGAGCATAGGTGATAACTCTATTTCAGAAGGTATTTCCAGTGAGTTTCAAGTTTGCATTCTGCAGTGTTTAATGCAGGGGAAGACACAAAAAAAAATACAGATCAGCACTTCCATAAATCATGGTCTTAGTGGCGAAGTGGAGGGACCATGGGGTAGCCATGGAACGTGATGGCAGCCGAGACAGACATGCTGTGGGAAGAACAGAACTTTTAACTCCGTGTGTGCCTGTTAGTGTGGCTGTTGCTGACTAGAAACCACGCAGGTAGGGCCAGAGCTAGAAGACGCTGGGAAAGGAAATGGACTGCTCTTGTGGAGAACGTTTTGCCAAAGACCTTGTTTGTGTTGCCCAGTGTTGTCCTGTGTCTTCAGGTGTGCTCTATGGTTTCTATACGAGGAAATGACTGTCAGGTGAGGAGATAAGATGAAAAGATAAACAGGCATAGCTGACTGCTACTTATTAAGTGCCAGGTGAGTGACAGGAACAGGGAGGAATTTAGAGGAGTGAAAGACCTCTGCAGGCCTGGTGATTAGGGAAGGCTTCACCGCCTGGGTTACAAAACATTCCCAGCAGGAGACCTATGATTTCCAGGGGTGGGAAGGGAAGGCCTCAGTTCCCTGAGGAGGAAATTTGGCCTGGGAGCCAAGCATAAAGGACCAGAATGAGCAAGGCTTGTTTAGGCCGCAGAGACAGGCTTGGTCTGTCCCAAAGGAGAATTCCATAGGTTGACTGGCAACGGGATGAGGAGGCCTGGTGGAAGCTTGGGACCCCTGCTGACAGCTAGGCCAGAGGTCAGCTTAGGTAGCTGGTCTCTTTAGATTCAGAACTGTATGCTTCTGCAGTCATGGAGAAAGATTGCTGGATTGCAGGGCAAGTTTAGAAGACTAGGTAGATGACTCTCAAACCCACTTGATAGAAACGTAACTGGGTGAACAAGAAGTCAGAGGAGGCTGGTCTTACTCAAGTAGCCTTGATTTCAGAAGACACGGGAAACTTAGAAGACCTTGCCCGCCTGAAAAGAGATAGGAAATGTCCTCAGGGAGCAAGGGAACAAGCA